TATAATGAATAATCATTGCTTATGGAAATTGAGAATTCCGTCTCTTTCTTTTATATATATTAAATATATTATACAGTGGTGCCTCGCATAGCGAGGTTAATCCGTTCCGGATTAACCTTCGCTATAGCGAAACATTGCTAAACGGAATAAAAAAAGCCATAGAAACGCATTGAACTTCGTTCAATGCGTTCCTATGGCTTGAAAACTCACCGTTCAGCGATGTTTCTTCATAGCGCCCAGAGTGCCTCGTTAAGCGATTTCATCGCTCAGCGAGGCACTCGTTAAGCGAGGCACCACTGTATATAAAATATATAATATGTGAATAGGATTTCAGCAATGGTGTATAAAAAGATATGTCATCATGATTCTATTAATCATTCCTAAACAGCATTGTAGGCCTTTGGTCACAAGAATGGGGCGCTTGTTACAATTAAGTTCCCGTCTATTTTGCTTGTTACAATTAGGTTCCTGTCTATTTAACCAAAAGTAACTATCTTTTGGGGTATTGACCCATTCAATCACATGGTGACCATCTTCTACAGAGACGGAATTCTCAATTTCCACAGGCAATGATTATTCGTTATATTTATAGGAATTTTGATTCATTTATTAGCTCCAGCTGGCATTTCTTGTTTCTTGACACAAAACATATAAAATATATAAATATATAAAAGTATTCTTTTTATATTCTTCCATACTTATGAGTATAGAAGACAAGGAAAAAGAATACAAGATTAGTCCTTTCTATTCAATCAATCCCCAGTTAACCAACAATCCATGAAATCAACAATGCCTCATACATACATGTGAAAAGATTGAAGACTTAGAGGAAAATGAAAAATGAATATAACCTTCTGGAATTTTATGTGTCCCTGTGAGAAATGGGAATCTGAACTTACAACCACTGGAGATAGCTTCTTCACACCTCTTCACCATCTTCTGTTTCTGTAACTCCTGTCAGTAGTCCTTTCAGGCGCGAAAATGGCTGCCGGCTATTACGAAGCTTCGCTGAACGGTGAGTATTTGGCCGTTCCAATGGGTTTTTTTGATCCGTTCAAAGATGCTTCAGCATAGCGAAGTATTCTTTTTATATTCTTCCATACTTATGAGTATAGAAGACAAGGAAAGAATACAAGATTAGTCCTTTCTATTCAATCAATCCCCAGTGAACCAACAATCCATAAAATCAACAATGCCTCATACATACATGTGAAAAGATTGAAGACTTAGAGGAAAATGGAAAATGAATATAACCTTATGGAATTGTATGTGTCCCTGTGAGAAATGGGAATCTGAACTTACAACCACTGGAGATAGCTTCTTCACACCTCTTCACCATCTTCTGTTTCTGTAACTCCTGTCAGTAGTCCTTTCAAAGAAGGACTGAGATCAAGAGAACTTAAAAGCAAGGCCTACCTCCTCAAACCTTATCATTGTATATCTATCTAGGCTCCAGTTGTATCTGTAAATAGGAACTCCTTGCCCAAGGATATGCAGATTCTGAAGCAAGGAAGAAGGCATGTAAAAATGATCAAAGCGGATTAAACATAAATATGCGATGGTCACCCCAGGTGTTAATAGGCCATTCATTTACAGGAATTGAGCATCTGAGTCTTTTGAAGCTTAGCATAGTCTTAGGGAGGCTATGCTTAGTTTCCTGGTCACAGCATTAACTGTGAGACCTGCTGTGTATGAAATTGTGACAGGGAACACAGGAAGTGCCTCCTCAGATTTACTCAATTGCTCTACTTTGGAAAGTAGAGCAATTGAATTAGTCTTTATTATCTTCTGTTTTCTTTTTAATACTGTGGTCCTACAGCACAATTTGTTTTTTTATCTGGAACTGGGCGTTTTTATTATTATTGAAGTTTTTATCTCCCTTATTTTTTCTTTTAAAAAAATATACAAATACTTTCAGGCAAGTGTCTGGAAGGTGACTGTGAGAGACGTTATGGTACTAACTTTGAAGTCCTTAACCTTAGTCATACTGCTGAAACTACTAATATTGATTTTTATGGGAGCTGATGACAGACGTGGAGCCTGTACTGCTTCAGACTGAAGCATGTTGGGGGGCAAAGTGATCTTATCCAGGACTCATAGCCTTCCACCACCTGCCCTCTCTGGGTGCATCCACTCAGAGAAAGTGGGGAGCAGTGTGACGGAGTGGCTATAGTGAGGAGTCTGGCTGGTGGGTTCTGTAAACTACAGATCCATATATGCACCCCAAATAGTATTATACAAATCAGTACACACTGGCACAATACACATTAAAAAGTTGTAAAGGTATTTAGTCATTCGGTCCACTGATAAATTGATGGGAGTTGATTTGCATTTTCATTTTTTCAGGATCATGCAGTTGGCAATCATAAAGGCTCATAAACTCAGTCTATGTTGTTCTGTAGAGAGCTTCCAAGCTGCTGGGAGGTAGCTCAACACGACCTGAAAAGCTGGCATCTCAAATGAGGTGCTGAGTGGAACATTAATTCTGATTACTACATTACCAGAGAGGACAAAATAAATTGATCAAACATGTCGCTTTTAAAAAATGTAAATGGTCAGTTATGGCCATTCTGACATTAATGTAAAGACTGCAATATTGTGGGATGAATTATGTTCAATGGGTTCCCAGGTCACCTTCTTTAAATTTGCATGAAGAATATGTGCCTTCCACATTTGAGGGGCTACATGTTCCCCAGTCCTGAAGTAAAATGATGTTTTAGCTAGATAGCAATTTTTTTTACTCATTCCTGCAATGAAAATATTTTCAATGCGTCAAGGCAGGAAGAGGCAGAGAGCCAGCATGATGTAGTACAATGGTCCCCAACCTTTGGCCTCCAGATGTTCTTGGACTTCAACTCCCAGAAATCCTGGCTGGCAGAGGTGGTGGTGAAGGCTTCTAGGAGTTGTAGTCCAAGAACATCTGGAGGTCCAAGGTTGGAGACCACTAATATAGCAGACAGAGTGACAGACTGGGATTTAGGAGACTGGGCCTCAAATCCTAGTTTGTCCATGAAAACTCACATGGAGTTGACAATGTTAAAAACACTCCTTGAATGTCTCATGCACCTTAAAATCTTACTAGTTGCCATAAATCAGATTGGACTTAATGGTACATAACAAGGAAAAGGCTCTGGGACTATCAAAAGTCAGGTTAGCTGCCAGCAGTTCACAACTTTAAACTCCAAATACACTATGCAACATCACCATTGCTAATGATACAAAGTACTAATTATGTGCATTTACCACATGGATCCTCTAGTGCAGTGGTTCCCAACCTTGGGTCCTCTGATGTTCTTGGACTGCAACTCCCAGAAATCCCAGCCAGCACAGTTAGTGACAAAGGCTTCTGGGAATTTTAGTCCAAGAACATCTGGGGACCCAAGGTTGGGAGCCACTGCTCTAGTGAAAAGGATTGTAAGTTGATAATTGGTCAAGAAGAAATGTAACACATCTTTCTTTCACACCATGTGCACTCCTAGTACCCTGCAGTACAATATATTCTACAACGGAGAGTTTTCAGAAACAGAAATCCCATTACTTAGCATAGTAAATTGCACTAGAATAGGCCTATTAAATCAATGGGAATTTAGAAAGTCATTCCTCTGTAGGTTCCATTGACTCAAATGGGCCTACTCTTATTGCCACTCATTACACTAAGCAACAAGATTTCAGCCAAATGTCAAATCCTGTTGCTCTGCTATACTTGTGGAAGGCAAATGGCATAAAATTTAGTTGCTCCTAGCTTGCAATTAACAGGTCCCCACTGAGAATCTCAAGAATGTGCCAAACCAGTGTCAACATATGTCCCCTGCAAGAATCCAAGCAGACGCTTGTCAACTGCCATATAGAAGTGACTGAATGTTACATCATTTGCCTTCTGCAGGAATAACAAAGCAATAGAATTTTCAGCCTATAAAAGGTCTTCCTTTCCATATTTACTTACCATGTCATTATCAAACTGATAAAGCAGAGCATGCTGCATTTGAGATAATTTATATGATCTGACTACTGTCTATTTCAAATATAATGAAACATTTAAATTAAGTTATAATTTCTATCAGAACTGGAAATTAAAGTTAAAGATTTGTTTGATAGTTAAAGAATTTTCTTTCAGCAGGATCATTAGTTTTAAGAAGCACAGTATAATAAAAGAACTGTTATATGGCAGAAAAAAACTATACAGAATCTTGCCCCTTAAATTCCTGGCTAATAACGGGCTATCAATTTATAGTTAGTTGTATCCAGTTTGCGTTCTTGTCCCTCCACTTGGTTCCTCCACCTCTTCTTTGCCTTCTGTGTAAAGAGGCAGTCACATCTTGAAGAAGTTAGGAGGAGACCAGCACTTTGCTAGGGCAGCAAAGTGATGACACAAAAAAATGGAGCATGTGGGCACAACTGCAGAAATTGGGGTCCGCTGCAGTACAGTACTTCTCCTCCCATCTTATGCAGCAGCAGAGAATGTGTCACCACTACTTCCAACTGGAATGTAACTTATTAATGAGCTTATAGTCACTAATAAGAGTTTAGCGGTAATCAATATTAGTTACTGGGGTCTTTTGTTCTATAGTTTAAAAGAGGAAGCACAAATATATTTGGGATTTCCATAGTTTTATCAGAACACACTTTAAAAAGCAACGCCATAGTTCAACAACATTTCTGATAAGTTAATCAGCTAGAGTATGTCAGAGAAAATGACAAAACTGTTACGCTAAAATATTGTGTGGCTTTTGTAAATAGAGTTGTTGCCGCTAAATATGGTGTAGTATGCAAAGTAAAAGAATATTTATTAACTTGCTACCAGTCTTCTGTTGCAAGGGTCATAGATATTAGTTATGTGTGAATAAACATGAAAGGACATTTTAAGCTAATGGGTGATCTTGTTTACCCTCAGCCAGTGCAAAAATCAATATGAAGTTCTGTTAATCACTTGTTTCACTTGAGGAAAAAAAATTAACATTGCTTTCACTGGCAGATGCATGATGAAGCCTTACTGACAAATATTAAAAGATAAAGGATTAAATAAGATTTTATTGTCACATTTAACTGCTTTGTCAGAAATGTACATTAAAGGTTTCTGAGTGATAAAAAATAATTTTTCTTGAATGAACTGAGATGGCGACAGCACATGTTCAACAAACCAGCACTACAGTTGCTTGCAGATACCCAAAGTTAATAAAACCCTAGAACACTTTCATTAATTAGAGCAGACTGCAGAGATGAAAAATAAAATGCACCATGTTAAGGCCAAAGAATATGTTAACATAATGAAAACAGAAATTTTTATAGAATCCCAAATGTCCAAGGAGACAGAAATGTTTACCATATTTAAAAAGTCACTTGGTTTTATTTAGTACAGAAAACAGGAAGGCTAACAAATAGGGGAGGGAATATTTCCTACTGAGTTTTTAGCCTCCGGCAAGAAGATATCTAAAAGAAGTCTTCTTGCAGTGAAGAGTGGGATTGCATATGGCTAATATGCATTCTCACAGACCAAAGGGTTTGCTGTTCACTAATTGAGGAACAAGATTAATCAGATATAGAATGGCACAGTTTCATTTCTTTGGGACAAATGTTACTGAAAGCATAAAAGTAATTAAAAAATGTAAGTGCGTTCAAACATTCTTTAAGAGTCCATATTGTGCCTCCAAAATCACAACCCCCAACCCAACAAAAGCTACAGGTTAAATTTAAGTGGAAACCCTAGGATAGTTCACTATTCAGCCTCTTCCATTCCTCATGACTTCAAGTTGTATAGAACATATCTGGATTATTATTATTATTTTTGCAGGTGCCTGTCACCACTATATTTTCAGCATTTGTACAGTTCTAAGACAACCACCTTGACAGAACTGACCACATCATCTTCTGCTATGTGCTCTTCATATTTTTGGAGCAAAAATGAGATAATCAGGATACTGCGGCAAAGTCACTTTAAATTCACCAAAATCAAAGTAATTATGTTTGAGACATTCATTGATGATTTACTGGTAAATGCTTTTCTACGTAAAAAGGCAACCATAATTTTAAGTGATACACATTAGGCTAGTAGAAAAAGATTGAAACTTCCTCTCTATTAAAAGAACATGCAAAGAAGATAGTTCACATTTGTTCCAATCAGACTTTTTGGAATTAACAAAAGTTTATTTATTTTTTCTGGTAACGATCTATTTGGCTTTACAATTTAAAAAGCCGGCAGATCAAAGTTGTTAGAAATAACCCCCCTAAAATTCAAGGCATGATAGTGCACGAGGTAAGCTTTGATTTGAGATAATTAAAGACTGTGCTTAGTTGCAAGATCCCATTTTCTTATGGAAAACACGGCAACAAAAGCTACACATTTCATATTTCACTTTGCTTCTTTACCAGTATATCCATGAATCTCATCAATTAGTACAGTTTGATTATCGTAATGATTTCATTACAAAAACTTGCAAAAATGTATCACAAAGTGAATAAGCCATCTATGTTCAAGTCTTCTACATTTGCTGTGCACAGTAATCCACTTCTGTAGCTCATTTTCTCCAAGTTAAATCCCAAAATACTTCCATAACAATTAGGAAACATAGTGCTATATTAAGCTTATGTTCTATTAAATTTGGGAGATTTGTGTATTCCTGGAATCTCCATCCGCATGTGCCAAATGTCGAGAATCTCTTGTCTGTGCGTATTCACTGTCAGATGACTCTGTAGGTTCAAGCAAATTCTCACAGTCACTGTCTTCCGATTCATTAACATTGTTACCGGAGGTTGTTTGAGAAGAAGATGGTATGGATGTTCCATTGCCTGAATGCTTCAATACGGTATTTGTGGAAACATAACTAGAAGAGCCCACTGCTTGAGGTCGAGGCATAAAAACATTGCTTTCTAGAACACCAGGACGTATAGCACTGTCATGATTGATCACGCTGAAGTCAGCATAAGGAGGAGGAGGGTCAGAGGAATCTGATTCTTCAGGATTACTACCTTCCACTGCAAATCCAGCATGAGACATTCGTGGGATGAATATAGACTCCAAGGTATCATTTGAGAGTTGCCTACTTAGAATGGTCTGCTGCAGTCCTACAACAGTGAAAAGTAAATGTAATTATCTGTCAGAGCATAATATTTTGTTTAGATACATACTAGTATACTAGTACATATTAGAAAGCATGGATAAAGGAATTTGGGAAAGGAACTCAAAATGTGGGTGATCTACTTAACTGAGTTTTACCAAACATCACATTTTTTAAAAAGTGTTGGATGTATAGTGTAAATTGAACTGTTTTCTTCCAAAAAATCGCTTTGCTAATGCTACCATGATCCATGTAAACTGTTTTGTCAAAATTAAATAGAGTCAATCAATTAAATTAACTCTACCTGATGTAACTTCCTCAGTAAGGGCAATCACACAAGCTTGATAATAAATCAACAGAGGTGACTCTCATTAAATTCCACAAAAAGAAAAGCGAACAATGTATTAACAATGTATACAGCATACATTTCAGAAGAGCAGACCAAAGTTTCAGAAAAACAAATACTGTGTATAATTTAATTTAATCTGCTTTTTATTTCAATTATTGCAAGACGTACTATTTTAGAAGCCAAAAGAATTTCTAGGAGGACCTAAATCTTTAGAACACAGATTACTCATCTCATTGTTCTTTATATTTAAATGTTAATGAGACCATCTGGTATATCTCTGAACCTCTAAAATGAATGACAGAAACCTGGTTTTCTACTTAATGATGAGCTAGAACAAACCCCTGTATATCATGAGAATGCCACCAAGAAAGGCACACTGCTATCAATTTCTCTTCCTTTATTGCAAAATAGTGAAAGGGCAGCCCTTTGGTTCCGCTATCACTGTACATCTGGGCACTCGTGCTCCACATTACTGGAAAGTGCTGGTGGAGATGTATTTCTGTATTAGCATAATCCCATGTGTCATGACCTTCTAATTCGTGCAGTCTTTAAACTGTTATGCTGTTTTTGATGGCATCTCCCTGGCAACTGGCCACTATTGCTTTTGGGAGAAAAAGGAAAAACACATAGGAGATCAACGCATCCAGCTGTGTTAGAAAGCTGCTTCATCACAACCAGCACTCAGCCAGTGATAGAAACACCTTTTACTGTTTTTATGTATGGCAACAAGACTTCCTGCATACACTGCCCTTTTATCCATTGCTTTTTTGTCAATTACAGAGCTGTCACTGCTCTAACAATTTGACAAGGAAAACCAAAGGTGTTTACTGGATAATCTTTTTAGCAAAATCAATGCTTCTCAACAGTCAACTGCTACAATGTGAATTTGCAGAGCATGCTCCATTGTCTGAGCATTCTAAGCAAAGTGGACTTGGTCTAGACCTGCTCTTTCATTGACAAGAGCAATCAAATGAAGTCAATGGTTCCCAGTGGAAGACAGATTTTTGCTGTTTCCTTGTTTGCCATATTCCCCACTGCCCATCCTGACTTGGGGTCTGTAGGCCTATGAAGTAACACTTGAAGAAGCGCGGAGAAGATAGACCTGGCAAAGATTGTTTATAGATAGGTATCTGCCATGACAACAGGCAAAACAATCCTAAGTAGGCACTGCATCATCTGCCACTTCCAATCTCATGTTACTTTGTGTTGCTCAGAGCAAGAGGTTTCACATGATTCTACAGGTGGTATGGCAATAGAAGCAGCCTTGGATCCAGTAGATCGAAGGCCATTGGCACTCTGCTTTAGAGTCTATCACTGGTAGACAATCTGGACCCAGATTCTGCTGGTATACTGAGGAGAGAATGTCCTACCTTACCTTTCCAAGCAGTGAACAGATGATTAGGACTGTACTCTTATTTTAGTAGTAAAAAATTAAAATAATGGAAAAGAGAAAAATAAACAAGTTGAGGTATAACACATTATTATTTCCATACTTTACACTTTTGCCATCCTACAGTAACATCACCTGTTTCTTGTCTTGTGTCTACTACAAATAATCTGTTCAGTGCTGCTTCATCAAAATAATCCCCCTTCACAAGGCAATTTACACGTGTGTGTGTGTGTGTGTAAATGGCAAAGCGCGACAGTAGTCTAATGTATTCAAATAATTAGAACACACCAAAAAACTGCAAAGAAGCAGAAAACAACTACAGTGTAAGTTGTCATACTGAACTTGAATTCAATTTAGGGTTCCATACATATGGCATGGACATTTATTCTATCAAGATAAGGTGTAAGACTCTAATGAGAAATCCAGATTTTAAAAATATGGATCACACATCAGTTACAACAAATCCTGGAAAATCTAGTATGAAAGTGGGAGGTATTTTCTCAGAATGCCTCTTGCAACCAGGTCTTGAGTTACAAATTTAAATGCTGATCTAGCTTTCCATTTGCACGCTTGTTTTCTTGAATTCACATGTAGAACTTAGTGACTATTAAACTGATTTACCAGGAATTAAGCAGTTCAATGTTAATGCACTTCCAGAAAGATAATATTCTTACGGTACTCAACACCTCTTAAGCATACATACCAAGTACTGAACATTTGCTCATGGAAACTAGAAAACTAGTACAGTTTAAGAGCCAGGTTCTACCTACCATATTATTTCCCTTACAATCTAACAACATAATCTGAGAATGGTACATAAATAAACCACTAGGAACCATTGACATTAAATATGTTTAAAGCAATAAATGAAAAGGCAATTACACATGAAATGCACATCTTCATGATGCTGCACTTCCACTGAGCACTGTTTTATACACAAAATCTACCATCCTTATTACAGTTAGTGACGAACAGTGATAAGGTAAATATAATATAAAATATATTGTCCAAAGTAGTGTAAGAAAATAGAATAATGGGGTAATATGTTGTGACAACATAGTTACTAATGACTATATTGCATTATAGGTGCCAGACATGATGATCAAGGTGTCAATTATGGATTTGGTAAAACAAGTCCCTGGAGAATTTTAGTTGCCACAGCACAAAATTTTGCCACATGCAAGAAAGTGACTGTATTCTGGTCAGAGAGAAAACAGATACATTAAAATACATCCCATCAACCAAGAAATTTCAATTTACAAGGGTCAATATATATCACAGTAAAAGAGACAGTACATATGGATGTGAGGTATTGATTCTGCATCTCCAGGTTCAGAGGGCCCCTTGTAATGAGAGTAGGGAATGTTTTGGAGCCTTTCCTCCACAATTGTAGATGGGAAGGCATTTAACCAGGCCAGATTAAAGATTCTCTTGTGATGTAAGAGCAAATTCGTGGTAGTAGTTTACTGGTTTACAGGGCAAAAGAGCTCTAACAATTAGGAGTGTTGTTTTAGGTTGATTCTAGATTGTGGTGATGTTCAACACCTAGAATTTATTGCTTGAGAAACTGATGTATCTGTTTCATATCCCACAGGGATAAGGTAGTGCACGGAAATTCCATACAACTGAAATTTTGTGGACAAAGATTGCTTCCAGCTGACTGGTAGTTGCCCTGTAGAGTTAAGGGAGTTAGGTCAGATGGGAAGAAGATTAGCTGCAAGTCAGACATTGAAGATGGCTAAAGAGGCCCTGGCTTTAGCTTCCAAGAATTCCACTTCTAGCTGGAGAGCTGCGCTGGAAGTGCAGTGAAGTACATATAAGTCTGCTTTCAGGAATTTAGAATTGGACCAGTTCCAGGGAGGAGGAGAAATAGGGCAAAGTTGAGAGCACCATACTGAAACCAAGTGAATGACTTGGCCCAAACATCTCTAGAGCAGCTAGTATACAGTAACCTCCTTTAATGGGAAAGAAGCCAAGTATGACAGATACAATTCTCTGTGCTATCTGGGCAGCATGATTTGTATGTGCCTTACTATCAACACTTGAAAAATACCTAAATACTTGAAGCTCTTTTTCAGTTCAAGCTTGTGACCATGTATGAACTATTTGTACAACTTTGGTCTTTTAGCAAAAACCAAGATCTTAGTTTTCTGGCAATTTGTCTGCAGCATTTGTCATAACAGTGTTGGACAAGGGCTTGCAGAGCTTTTTTAAACCACGGGCATAAAAGTCCAAATCATGTACTACTACTAACAGGGGCCTGTCCACAAATCTAGGACAGAATTCTGAATGGTTAAGACCTGAGGCTGGTGAGTTAATACAGAAAGTAAATATCAATGCCTTACTTACTCTATTAAATGTTAGCACACTACTTGCTAGGTGACCACTACCCCACCGAGTTTACATATGATTTTAGATGCTTTTTCCTCCTTGAATCTCCTTCCCGCTTCATCCATTAAACATCAGTTTGGAATTTTTTTACAGACCATCTAGCAATTTAAATACCCAGCTAATATAGGAGGCACATTTAATCATGAGTCACAGAAGAAGGATGAAGTTCTCTACTTCAAAACGTATTGGCCTTATACTTAAATTGTTTAATAAGTTATATATTATAAGGTTAATTGCAGTGGGCTTACTTCTCCCCCACCAGGAGAAAATATATAGCTTCCTACGTAGTTTTATTTGCAACCTTGCATGTCATGTGTAGTTTGAGTCTGCATGAGGACCGTTTCTGGGCTCATGTGATTGTCTATTTATCCAGTTGTTCCTTCCAGCCTTTGAATTCAAAAAGAGCCCTGCCTACCTACTCAAAAACAGCCCTGCTTTTTCTTCTCTTTTGTCTGTTGGAAGAAGTTGTTTGTTTTTTATTGATATGTTTTGGTTGGTTGCTAAGTATGTTTGCAGTAAAGAAAGCAACATACAGTGGGCCCTCAACTTATGAACGGCCCTAGTTGTGAACGTTTCGGGTTATGAACCCAATCTCATAGGAAACTATAGACCCTACTTGCGAATGCGGAATCGAGTTACGAACCAAGAAAAAGGAGGGGGGAAGGGAAAAAAAGAAAAAAAATATGCCCCTAGTGGTAGGAACAGATTAAGCAGCTTTGCATTAGTTCCCCTATGACAGGGGTTTTAAACTCAATTTACCTGGGGGCCGCTAGAGGCAGAGTCTGGGTGAGGCTGGGCCGCATCAGATTTTCCGCCAAGCAGAGCAAGAGCCCGAGGAAACCGCCCAGGAGTTTCCTTAGCCGACAGACAGGTGGGCTGGCTGGCAGGCTGCATTTCTGGATGGAGGGTGCAAGAGGTGCTGTCTTGGGAGAGAGCCGGCGAGCGAGGCAAGGCTTTTTTTTTACTCTTGACAGCAGAGGATGTGTGGGCACTTTGGGGGGGGCAGGCAAGGCGAGGGCCATAAACTATCATCTGGGGGGCCCCAAATGGCCCCTGGGCCACATGTTTGAGACCCCTGCCCTATGGGAACTAATGAATCGACTTGCGAACCACCCCTCGATTTAAGAACCAAAAACAGCCAGAACGGATTAAATGGTTTTCAGTGCATTCCTATGGGAAATGCTGATTCGAGTTACGAACTTTTTGGGTTATGAACGGACTTCCGGAACGGATTAAGCTCATAAGTCGAGGGCCCACTGTACACAAGTCTGCAATTTCAAGCAACTGTAAGTTGTGGGTGTTTTTAATTCTTTCTCCTACAAATATCTCCAAGTGAGTTATTGAGACTTCAAGTACCAGTTAATGAGAAAGGGTTGGGCTATCTGGAAAATGTGCAGCAATTCTCCTCTGCAGGTCTCTGTACTGCTACTGCATAGCAAAGAGAGACTTTTACAGAAATTCAAAACTCTGCAACAGTTATTCATAACTAGCTTTAAATACAATGTGAACAGTTCTTAACTGGAATGCAAAATTTCCAGGTCACATCTTAACATTCCACTATATGCCTGAGGCTTCAGATACAGGCTGTTAAATTTCAAGGACATACTTTATTGTATGACTCTACAGAAGTTAGTACATCTTTAATTTCAACAGAGATAAAATCATTCTCATCATTTTGGATGCTACAGCTACAGACCAAAATCATGTTGTCCACCGTGTCCACCACCAAAAAGAAACCATGTGCACAACTGCAATGGTACTGCTGTTCTCCATTCTGGTGTGCTGTCTTTGTGCAACTGGTCACATAACTGGGTATATGCTAGTTGCATAATCAGAACATGACGGGTTCTCTGAGGGAGGGTCCACTGGAAAGGGGAAAATGTTTGTGAAACTGTCCTTGCAATTTTGTGTCTCCCCAACATGATTCTGGCTGTACTATGTTTGTTCTGATCCTTCCAATAAACACTTCAATCCATATGTTTTATCATCTAGAGTTCCACTGACATAACTCATCTCAGGAACCTTCTGCATTTGTAAGTGGGCACCCTCTTTTGCTTTTCCACATATAGCTTTTCTAACTTGGCCCTGCTATCTCAAAATTATGGACTGCATATGTATTAGCATTAAATAGTTAGTTCTCTGTCCTTAACTCTTCTCTATTTGTTCTACACCCTAAAACTCTTAAAATTCAGTCAGGTAAATTGAAGAACACATTGTAAAACAGAGCATAACGGATGAGTGATGCAGCTATTTTAAAGACTTACTTAGTTCTTGTTCCTTTTCATTTTTCCTTTGTGAAATTTGCCTTTTTAGCTTATTCACCTCAGCCTGGAAGGATTCAACAGCTCGTTCACTTTTCTCTAAATCTATACATACTGCCTGAAAGAAATAAAAGGTTAGGTTCAGCTAGCATTCAGCAGTCTGAGTAGAAATACACTGCAGAAGTTAAGATGTCAAGATCTACAAAACCCTAAACAGATGTTAATAATTCATGCCCTAATAGGATACCACTTCTATCCAAACTTCAATTACTATAGTATGGAGGACATTATAAGCATCCTCTTAACAAGTACGGTACTACAGTGTTTCCCTGAAAATAAGACTGGGTCTTTATTAATTTTTGCTCAAAAAATGCATTAGGGCTTATTTGGGCTCGTGGCACAGTGGTTAAACCGCTGTACTGCAGCAAAAACTCTGCTCCCGACTTGGGGTTCAATCCCAGGTAGCCGGCTCAAGGTAGGCTCAGCCTTGTATCCTTCCGAGGTCAGTAAAATGAGTACCCAGATCACTGGGGGGGGGGATATGTAGCCCGCATAATTAACTTGTAAACCACCCAGAGAGTGCTTTTAGCACTATGGGGTAGTATATAAGCAGCACGCTTTGCTTTTTGCTTTGCTTTATTTTCAGGGGATGTTTTATTTTTTTCAAATACAACAATCTACATTTATTCAAATACCATCATTTATTTTATTTATTATTATTAATTTATTCCCATTCTCTTTCCCCCTTCTTTAAATGTACCTGGTGCCACTTCCTCCAGGGGTGCCTCTGCTGTGGCTAGGAGGCGCCATGGTGGTGGCTCGGGTTCCTACGGTGGTGGTGCCTGGGCTGAGGCTCCCGTTGGAGCTGGCGGGCACTGAGTTTGTTTTGCGGGAAACAACTGCAGCAATTGAGGGGGTGGTGTTGGTGTGGAGGATGGCGGGGTCCTGAAGCCGGTGAGCCCAGTTTAGGAGAGAGTGGCAGCTGCTTCAACACGGCAGTGGCCCTGCCAGCAGCACCAAAGAGGGAGCCGAACAAGAGGAGGGTTAAAAGACTTACGGTAGGAGAAAGAGGGGAGGGGGAAATAAAGGCAGGTTGGGGGCCTGACTGGCTGGGAACGGAGCTCCGCAATCGCTTCCCCCCTCCAATGAACTGTATGGTAGGAGAAAGAGGGGAGGGGGAAATAAAGGCAGGTTGGGGGCCTGACTGGCTGAGAACGGAGCTCCGCAATCGCTTCCCCCCTCCAACCTTGTGCTTTGTTAGCCTCACCTGGGCGCACACTGGAGGGGGGCATGCATACTGCAGAGGCGCAAGCCCCAAGAGCCGCTGGGAACTTAGTAGCAAGGGAACAAGTTCCTGGCGATGCCCAGCCCCTCCGCGAGCGAGGGAAGTGGGAGAGGGGGGAAGAAGTTTTAAGTTTCTCTCTCAAGGGCTTGGACGATCCCAGTGAGTCCCTGGTGGAGGGCAGGGTTTCACTTAACTAGGGCTTATTTTTGGGGTAGGGCTTATATTACAATCATTTTGAAAAACTATACGAAGGCATATTTTCAGGGTAGGATTTTTTCGGGAAACACGGTGATACAATGAACAAAATCCTGTTGGTTAGTTATGTTGGTGAAGTGCAATAGCACAAACTGCTGCCATTTAATGAGTTGTCACTTGTACTTCTCATATTGTGCACCATCTCACATGACTGGTGTGCAGTGAGGGATACAAGCACAGATTGATTAATTCACAACAATCAACCACTGCAATTACATCACTGCATTCAGATCCTGGCCACTGCACTGACATAACACTACATTTCACCAATTTATTGACTAACGTGGTTTCACATACAAGTACTATTAAAATGTGAATGGCAAAACACAGACATTGACTTTAAAAATAGGTTATAATCTGTGCTAATATCAAAGAAAGCATCAACCCTTAATCTCCACTTCTTGAATATGAGAATAAAAATTTAATACTGGATTTTTAAGCCACAGTATATATGCAGTGCAAAAAATTGTCTGAAGCTCAACATCAAAAACTAAGATCATGGCTACTTGTCCCATCACCTCCTGGCAAACAGAAGGGGAAGATATGGAGGCAGTGACAGATTTGACTTTCTTGGGCTCCATGATCACTGCAGATGGTGACAGCAGCAACGAAATTAAAGACGTCTGCTTCTTCAGAGGAAAGCGATGACAAACCTAGACAGCATCTTAAAAAGCAGAGACATCACCTTGCCGATAAAAGTCCACATAGTCAAATCTATGGTTTTTCCAGTAGTGATGTATGGAAATGACATCCGGACCATAAAGAAGGTTGACCGCCAAAGAAGTGATGCTTTTGAATTGTGGTGCTGGAGGAGACTCTTGAGAGTCCCCTGGACCACAAAGAGAACCTATCCATTTTGAAGGAAATCAACTCTGAGTGCTCACTGAGGCTCCAATATTTTGGACATCTCATGAGAAGAGAAGACTCCCTGGAAAAGACCCTGACATTGGGAAAGTGTGAGGACAAGAGGAGAAGGGGACGACAGAGGACAAGATGGTTGGATAGTGTCATCAAAGCTACCAACAAGAATTTGACCCAACTCCGGGAGGCAGTGGAAGACAGGAGGGCCTGGCATGCTCTGGCCCATGAGGTCACGAAGAGTTGGACACGACTTAACAACTAAACAACAACAAATATATGCACGAGGGATATGTAATATACAGGTGGAGGAACAGAGCTACGCAGTTTCAGATGCAGTGCTACAAAACCCGAGAACAGTTACAGTCAGAAGTGCTGTTACAGCTTGTTCTGGTACACCAGAGCAATAGAAACTTTGGCCATTACCTAAGATAAATGTGAGAGTACTATTACTTTAGCTGTTGTACTACAAAGTAGATGTACTGTAGAAACTGAACAGCGATGGAGCCAATGAAGATGCATTTCAAGAAAAATGTATTTATTCTAGAACCTTTCAAGAACAATTGCATATATTTAGTGACTAAGAACCAAGGAAAATATATTCAAGCAGTGAATTTCTTAAGCAATCTTTTAAGTACTCAGAAGTTCCACAAGGATAAAACACTGAACAGTTCTTCATTTGGTGCATACTTAAGTGGGGCTAAAGAAGCAAAGCCAAAGACCAATAGCTCCATAATGCAGATTTCCAAATCTTCCCATCCACAGATACTATACAAGCTAAGTTCTGCCATCATAATCAGAGGTACTGCAGTACATCTCTACTGCAATAATTAAAAAGAGTTACCTGTACTTTTTCCTGAAGTGCATTATAAACCTGATATATAGCCCTGATGTCTTTCATCACGCCATCTTTATCAAAAAAGTCGGTACTACAAAAATATCAAAAATGAGTTAGAAGAAATCATACTTTTATCCATCACAGAAGCTTACAGCCATGTGAAAAATAAAATATCCACTTTTTAAAATTCTATTGTTTTATGTATCAGGATTAGAGATGGGGGCTTTGTATTCGTATATGAATATGAAGCCTCCCGGCACAGGTGGCCGACCTAATTACCTCCCATCCCCCACCAGACCACTTAGCACGCAGCGCATGTGACCAGCATCATCTTCTGCACCCCAATAATTGCAGTAGCTCGGCTGCTGCAGCCCTGCCTCCTTACTCACCCAGCCTCTCTGACAAGTGGGTGGGAGGATAAGTTCACCCATGAAGTGGCTGGGCAAGGAGGAAGGCGGGGCTGCAGCAGCTGAGCTACTGCCACGATTGGGGCACAGAAGATGATGTCAGCCACACATGTTGCACTTCGTGTGGTAAGTGGTCCTGTGGGGGTCCAGGGGTGGGAGGTAATCATGCCGGCCACTGGTGCTGGGGGGCTTCATAGTCGTATATGAATATGAAGCCCCCATCTTTAATCAGGCTATAATAAAAATCATCCTTAGCGGGTTTGAAAATTAGGTAAATACAATCTCAGATGAACAACAACACATGACATATTACACCATGCCATGATTTATTGATTTATGATTTATTGATTTTTGTTATGCCCTGGTATCTAAAACCATAACATTCAAAGAGGGTGAACTTTCTTTTTCACATGACTGCATATTTATTCAAAACCTTTATTTTAGACAAGTGTAGATGAACTGCTGAAGGGATCTCCCAAGCCAGTCATTTTTTTAAAACCTGGTTTTAAACCCATTAATGTAAGAAAAATACTTTCTCCCTAAAATAGTAGACTTGCTGTAAGAACTACCATATTCTTTTCCTCTCCCATGTTTAATTACACCAGAGGTAATGTACGACTGTCTTATTAAGGATTCTTACAGATTTCCACAAACATTTTGCAAATGCAGATGTTTTGTAGCTAAACATTTACTGTAGTTATTACATTTTCTTGTTAACACATTTATTTTTAACTTATTTCTCTATTCCTAAACTGTAGGTACCAGTACTGACAATCACATCTATTCATGATTTAAATCCACATTCAACTCTTAACAAGTCAAAATTAAATACAAAATAATCCTTACCCATGTTCCTTAATAACTTTGGTATAAGTTTGGGAAGTATTTGGCACTGAAGAAACCTTGTATTCTTGTTGACTTGTATTGCCCAAATTAGGAATAGTGAGTGACACTCTTTGATGATACCTAAAGAAAATAAGTTTAGAAAAGCATTTTGTTTAGTCTTCATGGATTATTACCATGTTTCCCTGAAAATAAGACAGGGTCTTATATTAATTTTTGCCCCCTCCCAAAATGCATTAGGGCTTACTTTCAGGGTATGTTTTATTTTTTTCATATACAACAATCTGCATTTATTACAATCCAGTCATGTAATCTTCTTCTGGATGCTGCACAATGGTGGAAGGCGGGGTTTCACTTAACTGGGACTTTTTTGGGTTGGGCTTATATTGTGAACATCCTTAAAAATCATACTAGTTCTTATTTTCAGGTTACGTCTTATTTTTGGGGAAACAGCGTACACTCTGCAATATAATTTCCTTAAAACAAATAATGTTAGGGAACCTGATGCCACTGGACCCAGGTATTATCAAAAAACCAAAATCATACTGTTGATCTCACAACTGCAGCTGTCTTTTAAATAACTGCCTAATTGCACTCACTAAATGTTTATTTCATTGATATATTGCTACAGGTACTTTTCAAGATATTGAAAGAATACAAGATTATTTTTGTTAGCTATCCATAAGTTGTTATTGGCAATACTTGAATGTTATGATGTTCCACTGCATCGTTTATGGAAATCTAGCTCTTATTTTATGTAAATCCATCTCTGCTAACAAGCTGTCACTTGTGAAGGGGTCAAATTAATACATATAATATATATCTTAGCCTAACTATAGCCACCTTGCTTTCTGTAACTTGTTTTGATACAAAAATGTGTAAACCTACTGTGTCAGGGTTTCTGCTTAGCATAGAAAAAAAAAGACAAAGGAGGGAGCCTGCCTGAATTGCTGTTGCCTGCAATCTAGTCTAACTGAGAATGTGTCCTTGGTTAGTGATAAGGGACCTGGGAGTCTAACTGCCCAGAACTGGGAGGTATGACATCTGCAAACCCTCCTTTCTTCCCCCCTGCTGCACGTCCTTTGTCTCCCCTTACTCATTTGAAGGCTTATAAAAGTATATTCTGTAATGAGCACGGCAAGCTTCTTCTCCGCATGTTTCTGCGAGTGAAGTTGCAAATATTTGCTTGCTTTTAGCTGAAAATAAACAATATCCATTGGATCTTTCTGTCTCTGACAGATTGATTAATGTATTAGAGACAGGCAAAAAGCCAGGAAATAGTCTCAGCACCCTTCAACACCCTTGTTAGAAGTAACCACAAATGGCAACCCAAAACCATGGTTTGTTGGCTTACAAATTCTGGTTTGTTTAAACCATGTTTTGGTTTGATATCTGAACCTGCAACTATGGCTTCTCCTTGGCTTGCTTTCCCAGATACCAACACTGAAACAGAATGTGATAAGAAAGAAAAGGAACCAAAAATGGAGAAAGGGAACCACAGCTTATTTGGTTGTCTGCTGTGTTTAATACAAAGCATGACATCATAAAGTGCAAACACAACACTCTGACCACTATACCACACTGACTTTCAGTATAGCTCTTTGCATTAAAAATCTATTTATTTAGTTCTTATTATAGAAGCACAGGCCAGCAGTGGAAATTTTGGAACAGTAAAAGCTTCCCCACCTTTGTGAGGACCCAAAGGATTCTACAGGTCAAAAGGAATCCCTAGAGAACCTCAGATCTGTGAGGGGGAGGGAGATGGGGAACTTTTAAAATTAAAGATAAAAGACCATGGATGATGACAACATCAGCATTGTACACACAGAGCTAAAACAACAGGAAACAAATGGCTTTAAAATAAAGAACAAGCTTGAGCATGCATTGCAATAGATTATTTGGCTGCTGTAGGAACATAATACTGGATTAGATAGGCCTGGTTTGATCCAGAATGCCTCTTATGTTCATCACTTCACCTATACAGATTAGCGTTTGTAGCAATGTGAACTATCCTCAAACTAATGTGTAAATACAGGCCAAACCCAGGGCTATGCGTACAGTTTTTCCCTCTAGAAACCGACCCGAGTTTTTTTGCAACTGGGACAAATGAGAACAGCTTTAAAACATTCTTGAAAAGTCAGAGAAATGGGAAAATATTGTCTGTGAAACCAGAAATGAATGTTTTATAAAAGCCCAGTTAAACCAGGGTTAAAGTAAATTTTCCAGTACTTTTGGATCTGAAATACATTCATGTCCTTATCATTCACTGCAATAGATACTACAGTTGGAATAAACTACTTTTTCTACATCCCAGAAATTGATTACCTTCGGTTTGGTCTAAAGAGAACATATTCTAAAGCATGTGTTGAGTTATTTGCAGTAGAGATGAAACTGAAGAGAAGGAAGACAAGGTCAGGCACTCCAAGAATCTGTGTCAACTGTTTATGGATGATGTGTTCTCTATATGACATCTGTTGTTGAGTGTTTCTCCTAAACCTGTACCATCCAATAACGTTCTACAATGAAGAATGAGAGAAGAAAGCATTAACCAAAGACAAGAATAATTTCATATATTGATATCTCAAAAGTACAGCTATTAGAGATAAACCGGAATCATAACCTGGCATCAGAATTCTTAAACACAATTATTCTGATTACAGACATAAATGGCACATTCCCTATGCTAATGTATCATTTAAAAAGTGGCATAATTGCTATTTGCAGAACATGAAACCATTTCATATAAAATATAATTTCATGTTTAATGAAGGATTACATTTTGTAATGAAAGAATATCATTCCACTGATAAGTTGGCAGACATCACTCAGCTTCAAAACCTAATAGATCAAATTCTCCAGCTACTACTTCCTGAAGAAGTGGACTAGTCCATAAAAGCTCACATTAAAATATAGCATTTTTTAAGATACCACAATGTTTTTTCTTCATTTTTCTTCTGTTGTTGCCTGATATGCTAGCATAGACTAACATAGCTCCCTCTTCTAAAACTATTTTCTTGACGTATACTTTTGGGACAACTATCTACTTGCATGTCTTAATGAAGGACATATAATGCAGCTTTACAATGAGTCAGAATATTGGTTGCCCTAGGCCACAACAGAGCAGTTTCAGTGGGGTTTTAAAATGGATTATTGTGCTTTACTGCTTTGAATGTGGTTTTGGTGTTGCTTTTGTTTACTGTTATTTAGTGTGGTATTTGATCCTTTTTAGTATTTGTATACTTAATGTTTTTAGCTTTAAATATAATCTATTAATGAAGCCACCATGGGTCCTTTTTTTATGAGAAAGGCGGGATAAAAATATTTTAAATGAATAAATCTAAATAAATAGTCTCAGATGTACAGCCAGTCAGATTCCAATAAAGCCTTCCCATCTCCTACTATTTGAATATTCAACTGCTTATACTGGGGACTAACCTTGGGACCTTCTGCATGCAAACTGTATGCTCTGCCACTTAACTATGGAATAGGAAAAACAAGACACTACAATTATATGCGTTACAAATGCATGTTTAATTACCACTTGTGTTTACACCGTTCTGCATTCCGTTACAGGTCCAATCCGACAAAATGCTTAAGGTGAGCCTGAAGTAAACTCTATGCAGTTTGTGCAGATTCTTATTTCATAGCAAAAAGACACTCCTAGTAGTACCATTTAGCATGGAGTGCTGGTGCCTGAGAAAGCAACTCAAATAGCTCTTATTAAACACAAACTAACTATAGCTTCAACCCGGAGTGCTCACTGGAAGGACAGATCATGGAGCTGAGGCTCCAATAATTTGGCCATCTCATGAGAACAGAAGACTTCCTGGAAAAAACCCTGAGGTTGGAAAAGTGTGAGGGCAAGAGGAGAAGGGAATGACAGAGGATGAGATGGTTGGATAGTGTCATCGAAGTCATCAAAGCTACCAACATGAATTTGAAACAACTACGGGAGGCAGTGGAAGACAGGAGGGCCTGGCGTGCTCTGGTCCATGGTGTCACAAAGAGTTGGACACAACTAAATGACTAAATAACAACAACAACAACAAACTATAGCTTTCCTCCCCCAAAGCCAGCTATTTTTAAATAGGAGCACCGGATAAGGAAAGTCCACATGCAGAATTCTGCCACTTTCCAGTTCAACAGTTGATTTTTCCAGTTTCCAAATTATGAAATCTTGGGCAAAATCCTGGTGTGTGAATTTACACCACTGTAACCCAGATCAGTGCAGGAAGTATTTAATTTAAACTAATGGAAAGTTCTTCTCTCCCACACTTTCAGGTTCTGAGGCTTCCTAAGGCTCCTTTTTGTTCTGGGGAAACCTTTGAGAGCCTCAGAATGTAGCAGGGGAGCTTTTAATAATAAAAAATAACTCTCAGATTGCTACTGCTGGAATCAGGACCACTGGTGATGATCCAGCAGTGATTTTTCACTACTAAAGACTCCCCCCCCCCAAATCCAAGTCACTCTCCCAGGTTCCCAAAGGCTTCCTCAAGGTGAAAGGGAGTCCTAGGGAGCCTTGGAACTTGAGGGGATAGGACACTCTCCATTAGTTTAAATTAAATATTTCTAGCACCAATCTGTATTATTACACCAGTGTACATTTATACCAACAGGATTTTGTTTGTTATTTACAAGCCGCCCAAGCTTAAGTAGTTGTCCACAACTGCAGCTGCACCACAAATATTAACTAAAATTAATCTAAAGCTCTGGATGTGTATGCATAATCTTTGGTATATATTTACACAGCACTTGAAAAAATTACTGTTTCTTTTTTCACATACAATAGATACTATTTTCAGCGCATGAAATATATCAAAACATAAAAATTTGGAAAAGTCATAATAAAACATGCAACAATTCTATACTGCAAACAGTTGAATGCTGCCTTTGCTGGAAATACTAGCTTACTTTTAAGAAAACTGAAGCAGTAATGATCATTTTGATCTTTTTCAGTAAACTGCTGATGAAACAGTTGTCATAACCTATATTAACATTTAAGTTTATTTGTATGCCATTTTCCTCCCAGTAAACTGCACCTGACATGGCTCAAAATCAACCTTAACATATGGTCAAAATATATGTGAAGATTCTCAGCCATCCAGGTGAGATTATCTGGAAATGGGACTTCTTTCTTATTAAGTTGAAACATTTTGCTACTCATCCAAGATACTTCTTCAAGAAGCTACTTGGATGAGTAGCGAAACATTTCAACCTAATAAGAAAGAAGTCCCATTGCCATGACTCATCTTCCAGATATGGTCAAAATACATTATCATTTGAAACAAAGAATTGGTTACAAAACATAAATACATTCAAGACAGACAAAACAAACAAATAAGTATAGAATGTAATTTCGATTATCTGGACCCAAAACATAACATGCATAAAGCAAATTCAAACTATCGACAGATAGAACTAATACAAAGTACAGTGGTGCCCCGCTTAACGATTACCCCACTCCACGACAAAATTGCTTCATGACGATGTTTTCGTGATCGCTTTTGCGATCCCAAAATGATGTTTAAATAGGGAAAAAACCGCTTGACGATGATCGGCCCCCTGTTTCGGCAACCGATTTTTCGCTTAACGACGATCAGAAAACAGCTGATCGTCGGGTTTCAAAATGGCTCCCTGCTGTGCAAAATGGCTCCCTGCTGTGTTAAGGACAGATTTCTCGCATTACAGGCACCAGAAAATGGCCGCCCTATGGAGGATCTTCACTGGATGGTGAGGTATTTCGCCTATTAGAACGCATTAACCGGTTTTTTAAAAGCAAAGCAAAGCGTGCTGCTTATATACTGCCCCATAGTGCTTCAAGCTCTCTCTGGGCGGTTTACAAGTTAATTATGCAGGCTCCATATTGCCCCCCCCCCAGCGAGCTGGGTACTCATTTTACTGACCTCGGAAGTACAGAAGGCTGAGTCAACCTCTAGCCAGCTATCTGGGATTGAACCCCAGGTCGTGTGCACAGTTTTGGCTGCAGTACAGCCGTTTAACCACTGTGCCACGAGGCTCCCTTTTAATGCATTCTAATGGGTTTTTTTACTTTTGCTTGACGACGATTTTGTTCTACAGCGATTTTGCTGGAACGGATTATCATAGTCAAACGAGGCCCCACTGTATTTATTCTAATTTTGCGGCACTCCAAGGTGTCACAGCGGCCTAACTTAAACAAAGGTCAAGGATTGGGTCTTGTAACTAAGCTAAATGGTTCACCAGTGGCTCCCTTATCTTTAATTCTGAGAAAGGAAGCAGTAAAGGGGAAGTGGTAAGGAACAACAATGATGGGAGCTCCCTCTCCCTAGCCTTCCAGATATTCCAGCTTTTAATGCTAGTCTTTACTGCACTGCTTCTCACTAAATAGGAAGGCACTTATTCACTCCCTTACTAAAATACAACAGAAGCTCACAACAGAAGCTCTCGCTAACTTAATGGGATACAAGTACATTCAATTTAACTCTGGCATGCTATTTATCACATGATACTTAAAAGCTTTTCTTCCCTCGAGTCCTCATGCTTTCCTAATATTCTGCAAATGAAGCATTTTTGCAGGGACTAAAAAAAGCAACCTGAAAGTATCCCCCCACCTGCAAAGTCAACCAACTCTAGAATCTGTAACCCAATACAGTAATTCACTTGCATACTCAAAACTATCTCTCACATTCGATTTCATATTTTACCTTCCCTTAAAAAACAAACAAAAAAGAATTGCATTATCTGTACCTAAACAAGAAATGTTTTGTTCATAAAAGCCATAATAATTCTGTCTAATGTCAGCAGGAACAAAAGCAATGAATTCCTCTTGTACTAAAAGTGTTGATTCAAACATGTTTATTGAAAGGAATGTCCAGTATGTTGCACATACTGTATAGTCGCTTGCTAGATGGATCTTTCTGTGGCAACTGACTTACAGAGAAGCTTCCTGCATTTCACTAAGTATGCACTAGCAGAAAGCTTCTAGACAGAATGGACTTTTGCAGAAAAATGGCTTGCCACACAGACATAGCCTCCTCAAAAAAACAATTTAAATCAATCTCATGAATTATAGGCCAGTACTTAATGCCTATTTCTTGGAAAGGATTATCAAGTGTGCTGTTGCTGAGCAGTTCCAGAGGCTGATGGATGGTATGGATTTCAATCAGTTTCAACTAGGCTTCCAGGTGGTTGTGGTGGTTGTTACATGCTGCCAAGTTGCCTCTGACTTACAGTGACCCTATGAATGAGTGTCCAGAATCTTGCCTTCTCATGATGGACACAAAGTATGATAGCCTCAGTTTTGTCATTTTTGCCTTCGGAGAGTTTAGACTTGACTTGTTCTAGAAGCCATTTCTTCCATCTTTCTGGCAGCCCAGGGTGTATGCAAAGCTCTCTTCTAGCATCTTATTTTAAATTAATCTCTTTTTTTTCATGTCAGCTCTCTTCACCGTCCAGCTTTCACACCCATACATAGTGACTGGGAATACAATAGTGCGGATTATTTTAGCCTTGGAAACCAAGACAATATGAGATGGATTGATGTAATAATGGAAGTTGTGTCCTTTAGTTTTCAAGACATGGGCAGGGCTGTTATAAGATTTTTTTTTCTTGCAGCAAGCATGAACATTCCCAATCCTTCCCAAAAGTACTACTCCCTACCTAGAAAAGCTTGAAAAGAATCACTGTAGGTCAGAACGGACTTGATGGCACAGAATTTATAAAGAAAGAAAAAAGAAAAGGAAGCAACTCTGCCAGGGCTTTTCCCCTCGTCTCTCCCTGCCTTTATTCGTATTTATTTTATTTTGCTTTCTTGTGCTTGCTACATTCATGTATACATCCCTCTTCCTTTTTTTTCACGTGACCTGCTTCCTGGTGAGGCTTCTGTTTTTGTTCAGTTGCTAGTTTTCAGATTTTCAGCAGATTGTTTGGTAGGACAGGGAGCAGACTCCCTGTGGCTCCTCAAATTGCTTTGGGGTGGCATTCTACTGTATATTCCAAATAAAAATAGAACAATTCAAGAGAGGCCAGGATTGCCTGGTTCAGGTATGATCCTGGCTGTACAAAAAGAAATGGTAATGACCAACAATATTGTGTACTTACTGATTTGGAAACCCCATTTGAAATTGGGTATTTGGCTCACTATAGGAGGTTTCTTGTTGTTATGTGTCATCAAAACATATGGCAACCACATAAATGAGAAATCTCCAAAATGTCCTGTCCTCAAGAGCCTTGCTCAGCTCTTGTAACACTGTGGCTTCCTTAACAGTCAATCAATCTCATATTTGGTCTTCCTCTTTGCCTACTGCTTTCAACTTTTCCTAGCATGATTCCTCCCCCCCTCCCACATTATTGACTAACTATTGTTCACCAGGGAAGTGCTACTCTGTTGAAACTCAGGATGTTTCTTCTCATACGATAACCAACAGTATTATTTTGAAACCAGTCACACAGGCTGGAAGTATGAGACATTGTTCTGGTTTTTCTGTCTCTGGGAAATGTCAAAATATGGTGCAAAGAATATGATCTTTTCTATGGAACTTTTGTGGAATACCATAGATCTCTACTCTTATCCCAGATGTCTTACATGAAAGAGGTAGGAAAGATTGTCCAATGTTCTGGAATGAATAATTACCACTATATTAATTACTTTGACTCATGCAACTTTTTTCCTTAACTAGGTGTGGATGACTCCCTGAGATCAGTATTAAAGGACTTAAATTACTCCCCGAGATCAGTACTAACTAATTCCATCCAGGTACAATGGGACTCAACATCATCAGGTCCTTTCATGAGGGAATGAAGGGCACCGTAGTTTTTGATGGCTCAACATCAGATCCCTTTGACATCCGAAGTGGAGTGAAACAGGTCTGTGTCCTTGCACCAACCCTGTTTGGGATCTTTTTTGCTGTCATGCTGAAGCACGCCTTTGGAACTGCAACGGAAAGTGTCTATCTCCGGACTAGATCAGATGGAAAGCTCTTTAATCTCTCTAGACTGAGAGCAAAGACCAAAGTCCAACTGAAATGCATGCGGGACTTCCTTTTCACTGATGATGCAGCCATTGTTGCCCACTCTGCTGAAGACCTCCAACAACTCATGATTCGTTTTAGCAAGGCCTGCCAAGACTTTGGACTAACAATCAACCTGAAGAAAACACAAGTCATAGGCCAGGACGTGGACTCACCTCCGTCTATTACCATCTCCACGCAAGAATTGGAGGTTGTTCATGACTTTGTGTACCTTGGCTCAACAATCTC